GTGCGCCACTAGTAAGCCTTTTCCTAGTAGTGAGGGTGGGGGGCGCCCCTGCCTCCTGGGCCCCCGAAGCTCCACCGACGTACTTCTTTCACCCATATATACCTACGTACCCGAAAACTTTCTAAACACACAATAGATCGGGAGTTCGGCCGTCAGAAGCCTCCGTAGCCACCGAAAACCAATCTAGACCCGTTCCGGCACCCTGCCGGAGGCGGCAATCCTTCTCCGACGGCCATCATCATCATCTCGGTGCTCTTCATGACGAGGAGGGAGTAGTTCTCCCTCGAGGCCGAGGGTATGTACCAGTAGCTATGTGTTTGATCTCTCTCCCTCGTGTTCTTGAGATGATACAATCTTGATGTATCGCGAGCTTAGCTATTATATTGGGATCCTATGATGTTTCTTCCCCCATCTACTCTCTTGTAATGAATTGAGTTTCCCCTTTGAAGTAATCTTATCAGATTGAGTTTTTAAAGATTTGAGAACACTTGATGTATGTCTTGCCGTGGATATCTGTGGTGACAATGGGATATCACGTGATTCACTTGATGTATGTTTTGGTGATCAACTTGCGGGTTCTGCCCATGAACCTATGCATAGGGGTTGACACACGTTTTCGTCGTGATTCTCCGGTAGAGCTTTGGGGCACTCTTTGAGGTCCTTTGTGTTGGTTGAATAGATGAATCTGAGATTGTCTGATGCATATCGTATAATCATACCCACGGATACTTGAGGTGACATTGGAGTATCTAGGTGACATTAGGGTTTTGGTTGATTTGTGTCTTAAGGTGTTATTCTTGTACGAACTCTAGGGCTGTTTGTGACACTTATAGGAATAGCCCAACGGATTGATTGGAAAGAATAACTTTGAGCTGGTTTCGTACCCTACCATAATCTCTTCGTTCGTTCTACGCTACTAGTGACTTTGGAGTGACTCTTTGTTGCATGTTGAGGGATAGTTATGTGATCCAATTATATTAGTATTGTTGAGAGGACTTACACTAGCGAAAGTATGAACCCTAGGCCTTGTTTTCTAGCATTACAATACCGTTTACGCTCACTTTTATCACTTGCTACATTGCTGTTTTTATTATTTCAGATTACAAACACCTTTATCTACTATCCATATACCACTTATTTCACCATCTCTTCGTCGAACTAATGCACCTATACAATTTACCGTTGTATTGGATGTGTTGGGGACACAAGAGACTCTTTGTTATTTGGTTGCAGGGTTGTTTGAGACAGACCATCTTCATCCTACACCTCCTACGGATTGATAAACCTTAGGTCATCCACTTGAGGAAAATTTGCTACTGTCCTACAAACCTCTGCACTTGGAGGCCCAACAACATCTACAAGAAGAAGGTTGTGTAGTAGACATCAGCATCACATAGAGCTGGTTCATGGTTAGCTTTACAACTACGAACGGAAAATTCAGTAAGTAAACTAGATACAATGGCATGATTTTGATGGCCTAAGAGGCGATGCCACAAGTTGACAGAGGCGATGAAGGTAACCGCGCGGGTGGAGGTTGAACCATCATGGAATGGATATAAATCACTAAGGCTATTGCACCGAGTGATCACTGCCTGTGTTGCCAGATCCTTCACAGTGATACTGAAGGGATCAAACTCAATAGAAACCCAGTTGTTGGTAGTAAGCTTGCGAACAGAAAGTAAGTTTTGGACTAGATGAGGAGCAACAAGTATGTCTTTAACAGCAAGAGAAAGGTTTGCAGAGTTAATGTGAGATTGGCCAATATGAGTAACAGGAATAAGAGAGCCATTGCCTACAGTTATGGGTAGGATCGAATTGGTGGGTGTTAACTTTGACAGCAAATTCAGATTAGCAGACATATGAGCGGACGCACCTGAGTCGACAATCCAGCCGCCGTCGCCGTGAAGGGTGAAGTTGTTCATGGCTTGTAAGAAAGAGGCCTCATTCCATTGCGCCGGTGCGGAGGTAGTAGGAGCCGTAGGGGGAGCAGAGGGCGCGGGCGGAGCCGGCGCCTGTGCGAGCTAGTATGGCGATGGAGTCTGGAACGTAGGATGCGCCATTTGAGCCTGGTATGCCGCCGGGACGAGGTGTTGTGGAGGCGCTTGGTGCGGAGCCAGCACATAGGAGGTGTACGCCTGCGCAGGTGGCCGCCCAAGGATCCCAGGGCCACCAGTTGGACGATGAGGAGCCATGGAGTGGAGCCAGGGCGGAGTGGGCGCGGTCTGTGGAGGCCATGGCGCGGCGCCCACTCCTGCAGGTGGTTGCCACGGGACCTGCCAAGCCTGAACAAGGTCGGTCCAAGGATCGGCCGCCAGTCGCCATGTAGTAGCTGTTGCCGGAGCCGAAAGAGCGCGGTTGTCGGAGTTGATGCCAGAGCCGGAGGCATTCTTGTGTTGAAAGTCAGGAATTGGGTTCTTCCCCGTGCACGCACTATTGGGCTGGCCCAGTAAGGATCGAAGCTAGCATGTTTCCATGCCTCGCTTTTTTATTGGTTATTTTCAGTCGGTTTTCTTATTTCAGTCAGTTTTTCTATTAAAATACTTTCTACTTAAAAATGTTTTACAATTTGAAACATCTTCCATATTTTTGAAAGATGTTCATGATTCAAAAGGATGTCCTCTGATTTTTAAAATTAAACTATGAATTCATAAATGTTCATGAATTCAAAAATATTGATTTCAAAAAAGTTCAGGAATTTATTTATTTTCCCTGTTTTCAAAAAAATAAATAAAGGCTCACTGATTCAAAAAACTATTTCCAAATAACCCCGTCTAGCCGATCATTGTCCTGCTGCCTAAATAGCGGGTGCAACTTAAGGACTGAGGTTGTGTAGCGTGGCTCGTCTAGCCGCACTCCCGGAGACCGTCAGCTCCATCACTTGGTCCCTAGCCCTAGAGCGAACCAGCCGTCTGCTGTGGCGGGAAAGTTGGGGAGGGTTCAGACACAAACAAGGGGGGCGACCCTTGCGGTCAACCACGGGGCTGTGGAGGAAGACAGTGACGAGTTGAAGTCAGTGGCCCCCGGCGAGCGATGGTAGTAGACCACCCCTAGAGAACAAGGTGACGGCGCTAGCTACAGGACCTCCAATCCCACACTCGTAGAGTCCTCCACAAAGGGGGCAGGGTGGCGAGGCCTAAGATGTGGGTGTCAAGCTCGGAGAGCGTCAGGAATGGATCCAGGCCCCAGTGGCGGAGACAGGGGGACCAGCAGGGGCCCTGGCCCCCCTAACATCTGGATTTTGCTGCTAATCTGCTATGAACAGCGACATAATTAGTAATCTTTTGCTGCTGAGAATCTATTTTGCTATAGTTTGGTCCTCCCTAATTTGTTTTAGGACCACCTGGCCTCCCTAATACATATTTTCTGGCTCCGCCACTGCCAGGCCCCTCACTGAATGGCATCGTACCATGCACCTGAGAGGTGGATCCCCGAGTCCACTGGAGTGTGGGCCCAGAGACTAACGTTGGAAGTACGTACAAGCTAGCCTAACAACACGTCAACTCCAAACAGAAATGCAATGAAAGAATGTACAACTAACCTTGGAAGCAACAACGTCCTAGCCACTAATTAATCTGCTTCATCGTCAAGTTGATGGAAAGAAGCTGAATTCTGCTAGAACCCTCTGGACCAGTTTGCTCTCAGAAGAATTAATATGCATCCAATCGTTTTACCATCTTTCGGAACAGAACAAGAAATAAAACAGGTATAAAAAAGCATGCACACAAGTAATCCTGGTAATAATGGATTTGTAACAAAACCCTAGTAATAACCACACACGAAAGTCATCATCATTAATGTTACAAATAACACTCGTTCCATTATTCAAACACAACAAACAACACCGCGTACACAATAATCACCATCAAATCATTTATGCGTACAAATTACAGTCAGTCCATCGCTGACTATACCACACCAAACACGCACACAAAAGAAGCACGGCAGCAACACGAGCACTCCGGGCGAGCTCATGCTGCACAACTTAATGCCCACTACTACTATTATTCGTTTTCTCCAAAGCTCGTACCCTCATCTACGCTACCAGATAAGCAGTACTTTGATGGACTGAGCAAAGGGTGACCATAACAAACCAAATCAAAACGAAACCAAACTGGAAGGTGCACCACCAAACCATGGCAAATGCAGATGCAGAGAGAACACCGCAAACCAGTCAAGCGGGAAGCAGGACAAGCAGCACACACATGGCAGGAAAGCTTCAGTTTTGTTGGAGGTAGCAGTGCATGCCTCACGATCATGCATATCGATGGAAGAAGCTCAAGTTCAATCCACCGAAAAGATCAATTACCTGCAGCATATAAACCAACAATAGTATGAATGATTAGCCACACATACTACTTACAGTGCTAGGCTGACTTTTTTATGTAGAAAAAATAGAGCAGTAGGCAACAAGATCAGCTTATTAGCCCAGTGTACACCACTGTTTTGGGTACCGCTCGAAATTTCGTGATCCCGAGCGGTTACCCCACGAAAAACACTCATACCAAGCAAAAAAAATCGAGTTTTTTTGAAAATTTAGAATTCAAACTCTCAACGTACTTGAATACAAGGCAACAGCCGTTGTAATGGCGTAGTGGCAAAGGCATGCTCTCTGGATAGGTTGGAGTCTCCCCCTCCCTTATTGTTTTCTTTTTCAGAATGCAAAAGTAAAAAACTAAAAATGTTGTGAAAAATTCTGGTAGTGCCAGGAGTCGAACTCACCTCAAGAACAATGTGCGAGCTGCAGCGGTGGGTGTGTGTGAACTGCCAGTACGCTAAAGTAAAGCGAGTGATTTGAAAGAGTTAACACTTTATGTATATCAACTTCGAAATATTTGAATTCAAAATTTGATTTTAAATTCCATCCGATTTTTTTTCGGCATTTCGCGGTTACCGTGGTAACCGTGAATTTCGGTGCCCCTCGAGAAAAAGGTCCTGCTTGGGATCCAAACCTTGGTGTACACACTGATGAACATACGTACAGATGGAACTAGATGTAAAGCTCACCTGAGTACGGTGCCTCCGGGCAGCTGGGCCTTGTAGTACATTGAGTGCCTCGGCTCGTACCGGGAAGGCTGGTGGGTCTCCACCCTGTCCCACTCCAGGCTGTCCCACCATTCCTTCTCGCAGTCCACCTTAGGTGGCTTGGTGTGGCGTCCAACGACGGGCAGACGCCTTAGGCTCCAGCAGCCCCGGATCTTGATGGTCTCGAGTTGAGGCGCGGACATCCTGCGCCCACAGATGCAGTGCAACGTGGGGAGCTCGTGCAGGTGGATGCGTCTCAGCTTAGGAAATTCGAGAATTATATCCTGTTGTTGATCCTCAGGGCCCAAAGGGACGATCTCCCTGAGGTCACCACAGTACACTATCTCCCTGAGGTCACTGCAGTACACTATCTCAATGGTCTCTAGGCTAGAAAAGGTGGTGCCTCTCTTCCATACGGACATGGGGAGCACATGTACAAGCCTGGGGCAGTGGTCCAGGTGCAAGAAGTTGAAGTACTCAAAATTACTTTTAACTGGTTTGTTCCAGATGTAGACTGCGGAGAGAAGCTGGGATGCCCAGAATGTCTCCAGATAAAAAGGGCCCTGAGGAACAGTAAAGACTGTGCAACTTGGGGCACCTCTCTACCCGGCACCATATTAGACTATCCAAGTACTAATCCGTGGGGAGATGCAGGGACACTGGTGATAGACTGGTCACGTGCAGCGATGTAACCTGCTCACAAATAAAATCAGGCAATAATAAAGTGCTAGTAGTAGCATCTGGAGCATCCTCCAAAAGTTTGCTGTCCTGCCCATGTACGATCACCCTTATGATACATGTCATTGGTCTCCACGACGCTAAACATATTTTGGGGCAGTCCCACATCATCACTGCTGCAACTGGCCCATCCTTCAAGGTATCTCTGTAATTGGAGTCCATTACTGTGCTTGTATGCGGCTGGACATGCGCTGGTGTCTCACTGCTTGTTCCCTGTATGTTGCTACCAGTACCACCATCAGTAGCTGCAGGACAGATATCAATATGTATGGATGAGGCCACTGGAAAATCTCCTAAAGGAGAAAGCGACCTAAGGAGCCTTGTATCCGTTAGAGAAATCTGCCATCCACCCTTAAACATTTCTTCTATCTGCTGGTGGAGGGATGTATCAGCATGTGGATGCACAAGTGGTGCCTCCCCTCCATATGCTGTTGCTGATGGAGATGTGGTGTCAATGTGCAGCACTTTCGGCAACCCTTCCTCTGTCACACTCATCGGCCACAATATTGCACGGAGTTTTTCACAACCTTGCAGGATGATCTGCTTGGGGAGTGATCTGGCTTCCACTCCTGTCAGGTTGAGGTTTTTCACTCTTGTGCCCGAGAGGTCCAGCTCCTCGAGACTCTCCAAAGTCCCTTTCAAGAATAGGTTCTCCGATTCTTTGCAGCCCCTAAAAGTGACAACTTTTAACCCATCACATCCACCAATGGTGACAGTCTTAAGGCTACTGTTGTTTGGTGGCCCAGTTAAGCTTGCCATGCCTTGTTTGATGGTATTTCCTGAAAAATCTAGAATCTCAATGCTTTTCATCTCTGATAACACATCGTTGTTGAAGCAGCATGTGGACTTTGTTACACGGAGCTTGCGAATGTTAGGGAGTCGTCCACGTAAATGGCTCATGTCCCAGTGCTTGGCTCCCATCACGTTTAGTTCCCTCACCTGGGTCATGAGATCCATCACCCTTGCCGACAATATCTGATCCCAATCTGTGTAGCGCAGGTCAAGCACCCACAAGCTTTGGAAGCATTCCCATGACGTCATGGTACTGTTGTCCAATTCCCCCTCCTTGCCTGGATCTCTTTGGTGGTGATCTATGGTGTATGTTCTTGTTAGGAGATCTGCACAGTTCTCAAGCCACAGGAATCTTAGGCTGTGGCAACAGAGGAATGCGGGTGATGAGAAATTGAAGGTACACCTTGAGAGCTTGAGCACGCTGAGCCTGTGCGAGCGTTGAAACATGACGTCGGCAATAGCACCAGAGGGGCTCAGCACAAATCCACAAATTGCTGTTGAAATCCAGTATGGCATATGCTTGGTAGATCTTGCCAAGTGAGAGGAAGATGTCGTTGTTGAATCGCCATCAACGTCCAACAAACGCACCTCGTGCTGCAGGACGTCACCAACTTGCCATGCTTTGTCAGTGTCTGTCAATGCGATGATCCCATCGCATACCCAATAGTTACTGGTATGGATAGCCCATTCATAGTCCACGATGTGAGAGCCGATGTGGCATTGTTTCATAATATACAAGACACACTCAGCAGCAATCGCCGAGTATTTGACAAAAAAATACCACATTAGGGGTTGCCGTCTCACATAACTACCACATTCAAAAAAGTGACTAATAACTATCAAAAATTTCTAATTTTGTGACTAAAAACTATCACTTTCAAAAACTGACCGGTTTAGACGATTTAAACACGTTTATGATATGCGGGACCCGCCCGTCAGGGCTGACGTAGCGGCAAAGTCAACTTCGTTTATTTTGACCGTTATGACAGGTAGGGCCCACACGTCGTTCTTCCTCCTCCTCTGTGTATCTTCCTTTGGCATTTTACCAAACACCTCCTGTGCATCATCCTATGCTGCTTTCAGCCAGCGCCCAGTCACCCCCTCATGCTCCGGTGGCCTTTGCCGCCCTGCACTCCGGTGGTTTTCCATGCCAGAGGGTGCCGGAGCAGAAGCCCGCGCATCCGCACGCGAAGCTGAGGTGCCGCGAGCTCTAGGCCTTGCTGCCGCCTCCCTCGCCGGCCTCCATTCGAGCTGGAGCTCGTGGTCAGCGGCAAGGAGCAGCAACAGCGGCGGCTGCAAGCAACAGCACCACGAGCATCGCCTGCCTCGGCGCGCTCGCCGAGCTCCTGCTCATCCCGGAAGCCCTCGCCGCCGAGCCGCAGGCCGCACTCTGGTGCCGAGATGACAATAGGCTCGCATTCGCGGTTCGGTCCCTGTGTCGCGCCGAGAAGGACCTAGCCCACCTCTCCGCCTCTGTGCATGCCACAGTCAAGTTCCCCATGCCCTCCGCTTCCAACAGCGCGGCGGAGGTCGAGGTGTCCGAGGTGCTCGCCGAGGCCATGGCCACTGTCGTGTTTCGGTCGTCGAAGCCGTGTCCTTTGCCGCCACCTCCAAAAAGACCACCGCAACATCCTCTAGCATAGGAGCAGTAGCAGCGGCCGCAAGCAGCATCACCACAGTTCCGGCCTCCTCTCGCCTCCTGCGACGACCACGGGTGAGCCAGAGCTCTCCAACACCCTCCTCCCCTTCCGCTGCAACGGGACATTGAGGCTCCCGCCCGCCACGAGGCTCGGTGCAGTGCGCGAGGACCACGACGAGCAGCTCCTGCAGCACGTGCGAGAGCCATGGCGAACAGCTCCTGTAGTGCGAGCACCTTGGCGAAGCACCTCGGGCAGGTGACGCGCGCACCTCGCTGTCGTCCTGGGCGTGCAAGGATGGGCCATCCTGTGGACCATCTTCCTCGGTCAGGAGCGGCGGGGGCGTCTTCACGGTGGGCGTGTCACCAGAGTTGACCTGCTTCCCTCCCATGCACAGGAGGTATTTGGTAAAATGCCAAAAAAAGATAGAGAGAGGAAGAAGAAGAATGACATGTGGGCCCCACCTGTCATAACGGTCAACTTAACTGTCAAAATAAACAGAGTTGACTTTGCCGCCACGTCAGCCTTGACGGGCGGGTCCTGCATGTCATAAATGTGTTTAAATCATCTAAACCTGTCATTTTTCAAAAGTGGTAGTTTTTAGTAACAAAATTAGAAATTTTTGGTAGTTATCTGTCACTTTTTTGAATGTGGTAGTTCTGTGGGACGGCAACCCCTAATGTGGTAGTTTTTTGTCAAATACTCACAATCGCCGGTTCAATGATACTGTGTCCATTTTTGTGGCAGGAAACTTGTGCAGCCTCATGATGCACTAGATAAGACCAAAGTTCCTGCGGATCTCGTCGGTCACTTGAAGCTGAAAGAACGACATCAGTTGATGTGCTCTTCTTCACATTGTCTATCATCTTGGGGTCAAGCCGAAACCTCCCTTGGAAAGTCCACAACATCTTGCTGTTGGCATATCCATATATATAGAGACCAAATTTAAATATATCAATCTCCTCATTGCTTCCATTGTGCAGGATCACCAAGAATCTCTCGTTCTATGTGGTTTGATAGAACTCTCTGACAACCTGTGCTATCTCAGTTCGGGAGCCTTGGTCTAACCCATTGAAATCATCCTCTTCATCTTGCTTCTCAAACATATTCATCACCCAATTGGGAAGGTTCAGCTGCTCTGCTATTTCCCTTTGCATTGCTCTTCTGCTCTCCCACTTTGAGCAGTCAATGTGGATGATTTTCTCAAACTGCAGCTCTGCAGGTCACATTGACTTCTTATTTGATACTCCAAGGAGTTTGGCTACGGATTGCAGGACGGCAGATGCCCCGAGACCATCCCAGCCATCAAAGTAGATGGCATTCTTGTTAGGTTTTGTAGAAGCGTCTCAATCACCGTAATATGGTAGCCCGCGTATATATATTGATATGGCGAGGCCAGCTCTCGCAGGAGGCATACATCGAGGTAGTTGAAACCACCAGAGAGATATATGGAGATAGAGAGGATTACATCAAGAGATAAACATGAAAATAAAACAAAGAGATCTCCTCTAACTATCCCAACCGACGGTGGCCCATATCCATACGTGACAATGTTTAACACGCCCCCTTAATCACAACTGTCTCAAGTTGAGATTACGCCTGAATTCTTCAAAGCTTCTGGTTGGTAAGGCCTTTGTGAAACCATCTGCAAGCTGGTCTTTGGAAGGAATAAACCGAACATCAAGTTGTTTATTGGCAACTCGTTCTCTCACAAAATGAAAGTCTATCTCAATATGCTTGGTTCTGGCATGAAAAACTGGGTTAGCAGACAAATAAGTGGCACCAAGATTGTCACACCACAAACAGGGAGGTTGAACTTGAGGTACTCCAAGTTCTTTAAGCATAGATTGAATCCAAATGACCTCTGCTGTGGCATTTGCTAATGCTTTATATTCTGCTTCTGTACTTGACCTGGACACAGTAGCTTGTTTTCTGGCACACCATGAAATTAGGTTAGGACCATAAAATATAGCAAAACCTCCTGTAGACCTTCTGTCATCCAAACAACTAGCCCAGTATGCATCTGAGAAGGCACTCACAAGTGTGGAAGATGACTGCTGAAACGTAAGACCTGTGGCTAAATTATTCTTTATGTACCTCAAAATTCTTTTGGCTGCTGTCCAGTGAGCTGTGGTAGGTGCATGGAGAAATTGACACACCTTGTTAAGTACTGAAGACCACCCACCAAGCTTCTGTACCCAGTAATGTCCTCTTGAGTCAAAGGTTCTCCTTCTGTTAAAGACAAAGTTTCTGAA